CCGTGTACTGGTGCAGTGATTGTGATGTTGGGCTATGTATTGACCAGTGTTTTCAGGATTACCACACCAAACTCAACTTTTAGCAGTTCGAGTGAGTAAAAAAATATTATTTTTCATAATTCTATTAAAAAATATATATAGTTTTGTTCTCCGTTTCATTATGAATATTTCTGTGAAAATTTTATCTCAATATACCTATTTTTGCGAGAGTTACTAAATTTTTCATGGATAAGTGCATTTTTCTGTTTAATAATTAAATACCCCGTCGGTTTGGGGATAGGGAAAGATTTAAATACGATCCGTTGCGGAAGGGTTAAGTCTCCACAAGCTCACTTCTTGTACTCTTCTGTTCTCCAAATCCAAATTTGCTCTGAATTTACAGCTCACAGCTCTCGTTATACAGCTGCTGAGCCGACATGGACCTGCAATGAACACCTAGCACATGATCACTATGCAGTCAGTTTATTGGCGCGTTGGTTGGGTCTACAGAAAACACAGCTTTCTCTCTCGTTGCATGTTGGAGTGTTTTTTAGAGAGCTGTTGCCTGGCAACACGTTGATCATATCCATTACAAAATATCCATTCTTCAGGATATTTGTGCCACATTTTGGGCATCAAATGCTGACACACTGGATTTAGTGTAATGAACTCAAGTAATCTAAATAAAAAAAAAATATTAGTGATCACATGGACAGGTGTTGATGTAAATTGAGTGGTACATTTAATCTGCAAAGAATATCAACTTAGATGTGGTATAGAAATGCTGGGCCACAAATTGACAGGGGCAGAAAGCTTCCACTGAAGCAGTAAAGAAAGCCTGAATGGAGTCATTAAAGTGTGTTATGGAAGTGTTTATACCATTATTCTACAGTTTTTACGCAATATCATGTAAACATTATGGATTAATTGTATGAACATGTGTTTAATATGTATAGTAACTGTGTTATTTATATTGAGGGGGGAAATAATAAACATTCTGCACAAAATAACCATGTGTCATCTGTTCAGTTGATGCTTTCTCTTTGTAAACTGCTTAGACTACACAAGCAGCACAAAAAAATAGCGGAAACATTGTGAAGATGTAGTGGATTGGTTCTTTCTCTTTGGAAACTGCTTAGACTACACAGTTATGTCATCAGGCAGCACAAAAAAATAGCGGAAACATTGTGAAGATGTAGTGGATTGGTTCTTTCTCTTTGGAAACTGCTTAGACTACACAGTTACCTCCTCAGGCACCACAAAAAATAGTGGAAACATTGTGAGAATGTAGTGGATTGGTTCTTTCTGTTTGGAAACTGCTTAGACTACACAGTTATGTCATTAGGCAGCACAAAAAAGTAGTGGAAACATTGTGAGGATGTAGTGGGTTGGTGCTTTCATAAATAACTTTATGTTAGAAATTCTTTTGTTATTAGCATATTTTTATTATATGGAGTTTGAGATGGATTACTGGTGTATCTTATTAAAAATTCTACAGTGCACTCTGTGGATGAGGGGTAGAATGAAAATTAACTACAGTTACAAATTTTTGGATAGTACAGCTGTTGTGTATATAAATTTTAATAGTTTTGTTGTCCTTATAGGGTGTTATCAAAGTTGGAGCTGTAAATGTTGATGAACATAAATCACTTGGAGGACAGTATGGTGTAAGAGGTTTCCCAACAGTTAAAATCTTTGGTGCTGATAAGAATAAGCCAGAGGATTACAATGGACCCAGGACAGCACAAGGACTTGTGGATGCTGGTTTTGATGCATTGAGAAACAAAGTATCAGCACAGATGTCTGGTAAAAAGAGTGGAGGCTCAAGTTCAGATGGTAAAAAGGTAAGTTCTAGTGAGTAGATATGCTGTCTTATTTACAATGGAAATTAATTGGCAGACAGCCACTATATCTGTATCTTAACATGATTTCATCATATTGAAAATTCTTCTGTTTTACCTTGAAGCCAAGAAGCAAATTTGTGCACATATCAGCCCATTATAACGATGGGCTATGGGCTGGATGGCCGTGGTTTGATTCCTGGCAGGGGTAAGAGACTTTTCTCTTCCCTACAGTGTGCGTACTGACTTTGGGGCCCACCCTTCCTATACAATGGTTACCAGTTGCTCTTTCCATGGGAGTAAAGTAGCGTGGACGTAAAGATGATCACTCACCTTCATCTAATGCTGAAGTCAAATGGTGGAGCTGTACCTCCACTTCCCATATGTCATCATGGTGTGGTGTATAATTAATTAAGCACACGGGCTAGTGTCTGGTAACCCACAGGAAGACCTACACAAAACTGGAAAACTATTCTCTCTGAACAGATGCATTTCGCTGTCTTGGCTAGTACACTGTGGTGAAACTGTCCTGGTCAGTCTGTGAGGGACTTGGTATTAATTTATTTTTTATGTTGTATTCTAAAGAACATAAACTTTCAGAAACTGGATCTGTTTCCAGTCTTAGGTGAGGGGGTGGGAGACACTGGATGGTAGATGAAATATGCAATGTGCAACATGTGGTATATCACATTGAAGTTTTGAATAATCTACTTTTTTACATTTGTAATTACCTTTTTTAAGTATGTGAAGCACAGTTATCAAGTAACTTATGCAATAGCTGTGTCCTGAAGAGAAGTGTGACTCATAATCATGTAACTTGAAATTTTTGTCACGTATATGGTTTCCTCAGCATCTGCAATTTTCACCAAAAAATGCGTAATTCAGTTAACTGTAATCCCCTTCATTTTAGCCATTTACAAGTTATCTGTATTTTTAAACAAATAATTTTATTGTTTTTTAGTCATGAGTGTTAGGTGAGTCAAATAATTAATATGAAATTGCTTTAACATAAATTTCTTGTAGGTTGGTGGATATACGAGTATGTAGTGTGTGAGGGGTTTGATATTAAGTGGGAAAGCTCTTATTACATTGTTACTCTATCATTCCAGCATATATACAGTGTAATGTGGAAGTGCCTTCTGTTCAGCATCATTATAGAACCTGAAAATAAGCTTGTTGTTGTTGTTTTTTTTTTTATTTATTTTATTTTTTTTTTTTTTATGTTCCAGGGTGATCCAAAGGATGTGATAGAATTGACAGATTCAAATTTTGATTCCATGGTTTTGAATTCAGAAGACATGTGGTTGGTGGAATTTTATGCACCATGGTGTGGTCATTGTAAGAACTTAGCCCCTCATTGGGCCCAAGCAGCCAGTGAACTTAAAGGGAAGGTAAGGAGCAGTCATGTGAATCAGACTTGTCGAAAAGCTTATATAGCTTAGATAGTCAAGAAGTTCCCACTATGAATGAAACATGGAAGTCTTACGCTGTATATGCTCACATCCCATTTTCTTAATATTAATTTAGTATTATTATCCTGTCTGCATCTAAGTCTCTCAAGCCGTCTCCTCCCTTCAGCTCTCTGATTAAAGTTTTGTAAGTAATTTTCATCTCACCCCTGCATGCCTCATGCGTTGTTTATCTCCTTGATTTGAGTATCCCAATAATATTGGTAAAGAGTACAAAATATGAAGCATCTATGGCTGTCCCCTTACTACTTCCTGTCACAGGTTCAAATATCATTCTCAGTACTTTTTCACAATACTCTTAATCTGTGCTTTTCCCTTTGGATGAGAGATTGAATCTCACACCCATATGAAACGGCAGATAAATTACAATTCATGTTTTAATTGCTTTAGATATGAAATGCTTGTGTATTAATTAATTAATTCATTCATTCATTTATTTGCATTCTGTTAATCAATACAAGGTCAAACCAACCTATGGGATATAGAACCTGTCAAGATACAAATATAATATAAACATAAAATAATGATATATACATACATTCATAAAGAGCACAATAAGGACATAAAGTAAAACACAGTATTGCATAACAGCAGTGTCACAAAACACATTTTGAACAAAGACACAAAGCAAAACACAGTATTGCACCACAGTGTCACAAAACACAGTTTGAACAAATACACAATATAATAGTGAAGACAATGAAACATGAATGAATTGAACTTACAGTGGGAAGACCTCCCACGACTAATCAAAATGTACAAAGGGCAAGAAATATAAAAAGAACCATATTCATTAGGAAGTTAATTGGTAATATTCATCAATACTATAGAATGCATGTT